CTTCCTCTCTGTAAAAAAAATCAATAAAATATATATATTTTTAAAACTGACAGAACTTCAAAAAACCCCCACAAACTTAATCTAATAGACATGGAACATACAAGTTTAATCTAATAGACATGTAAACTGCATCCACCAATTAAAGAATACATATTAATTTTAAGCTTATTTCCAAAAACCATATTTAGAAAACATTTATATTAATATATAATTATAATTATACTAGAGCTCCAGTACATGAAATTCGTGCACTGGAGGGGGTTTCCCTCAGCCCAGCATGTACCCTCTCCAATCTGGGACCCCCCAGGAGATGTCCGACTGCCCGTTTAGGCCCAATCCTGCAGGCCTAAACTGACAGTCAGACATCCCTCTCACAATTTGGGACTGCTGGCTCCTAACTACTTGCCTGCCTGCCTGCCTGCCCGCCTGCCTGATTGCCCCTAACCACTCTGACTGCCAACCTGATAGCCCCCTAACCACTCCTCTGACAGCCTGATTGACACCTAACAGATCTTCTGCCAGCCCGATCATCCCCAACTGCCCTCCCTTATAAGCCTGGTCCCAACTGCCCTCCCCTGCTGGCTGGCCATCTTGTGACATAGGGGCAGCCATCTTGAGGTGGCCATTTTGTGATGACATGGGGAGGCCATCTTGTGAGGTGAGGATGTGTGGGTCAATTTGCATATTACCTCATTATGCAAATTTGTGCACTGGGCAGGGGAGGGGGTGTCCTCTCAGCCCAGCCTGTCCTCTCTCAGTCTGGGAGCCCTCAGGGGCAGGAGGTGACCCAGTGATCAGGAGAAGGCAACTCCCCATCACACCCAGGAAAGGAGGCCCAGGTACAGTGGCCTCCCTTGTCCCCAGGGGAAATATTCCAAGACACCCAGTGCAGGTCTGAAACCATGGATAGTATTAAAGCCTCTTTATACTATGCTTTTTCCAAAACGTACAACATACCTATGATAAAATTTAATTTATAAATTGGGCACAGGAATAGATTAACAACAATAACAAGAACGATTATAACAATATACTGTAATAAAAGTTATGTGAATGTGGTCTCTCTCTCAAAATAATCTTGTTGTACTATATTCACTTTCTTGTGATGATGTGAGATGATAAAGTTCCTACGTGATGCAATGAAGTGAGTGACCTAGGCATTGTGACAATAACATCAGGCTACTACTGACCTAACATAAGAACAAGCACTTTACAGCTTCTCTGTGGCATATCCAAATTGCCAGCACTGATGAGGAAAATAAGACATTTGGGGGCAGAGAGGGGGTGCTAGCATCCCGACTCTGTATCGCTAATGCACATTCCTGTTAGCCTGTTGTCTAGTCACTGCCCCTTCTTTAATTATCTGGTCTTGCAAGACCTGTTTACCTAAATACTCCCATTTTACAGAGGCCATAAACCAGGAACAATACACAATCCCCAGAGGGGGTTATCAGTGCTGGCCCCAGGCCTTTAAGTGCAGTCTCACTGTCCCCATCCCAACACATGGGGCTTTTTGCAAAGCCTGCCAAAGGTCTGGAAGTCCCATCCATATTTGGGGGACAGAGAAACCAAATGGTTCAAAGCGAGAGCTTCCTCCATATTGGTTTGCTCAGTATTTGGAGAGGAAGTCTCCCCTGTCACTACTAGTACATGGGGAACATCTGAAAATAAATGGGTTTTTCCCTGTATCTCCAAATACCCCTGTGTATTTTTCGGTCGCCTGGTAAATTCTGTAACAGCATCATCACTCTTGCACTTTGGGTCGTTTATGTAGTAAAATAAAGGTTATTATTGAACACCAGCACTGCAATATCTTCATTGAGACCGCTATTAAGTAACCAAGAGAAGCATGGACAGTGTGGAGTGGACAGAAGGATGAGAAACCTCCGGGGTCTCACAAGATTTCATCAGGGCTACTGAGAGCAGCACACAATTTAAAACGCACCAAGTGTTTATTTCTGTATTTTTCCACTTGATATTTTTGAACCACAGTTAACTGTGGGTAACTGAAACTGTGGAATGTGAAACTGTGGTTAGAGGGTGGGAGGGAACTCCTGTACTCGAAAACCCAGAAAAGCTGGTTTTAACAACTTACGTATTCAGTCCTCCCCTACAAAATTAGAAATCATATTACCAAGGAACCTAATGCCCCAGCAAGGACTCGGACAGAGGAATCCTCGTTGTGAAATCAACAACTTTTAAGAGAATAAAAGCAGTCAATGAAAGAATTTCCTAGAATGACAGATGGAACAAAATTTATAATTACCAACAAAATACAGGGGAAAAAGCACTTATGATTATTATAAGGAAAGACTATAGCCTTTAATGACAACTTCAAAGTAGTGTTTCATATTCTCTTATGGAAGGTTCCCATGCCTTGTTAATAGTATGTGAAACTGTTCAATGGTAGACTACAGAAAGCCTCTACATTTCTTTGCCAGAGGGGTTTCAGAATCATGGTCTGCCGAGTCCCCCTTCAACCAATAGGGTGTAAGTTGACTAATTTTATAAGCTCCAATGTTTTATTTTTACTCCAGTATTAAGATTTGACATTAAGAAGAACATGGGGAGAACTAATTTTTTTTTAGGTAAAAAGCCCATCAAGTGTATTAAAGGCAGCCATACATAAAATGCTGAGGTTACAATCACAGCATACTTATAAATGCTGCAAAGTATTAGTATACATCCTCAAGCCTTGAGACAAAGATAGCAGATAGATTTCAAGTCACATGTCAACTCCAACGAATTAAGTGGCTATGACCCTGGGAACAATTTGGGCAAAATGAATCATAAAGGCCTCGCAAGGGCATGAGTGTGGCAGTGTGTGTGCTACTCTTGCCCTCTGCTTTTTGCTGGCAAAAACGCTGTATGGAAATAGTTCTTTTTCTATTATGGACAGGATATTTCATTATTGCTTCATTATCAGATAATGCATCCTGATGTGCAATAACAAAATATGCAAAATCAAGGAAAAAGTTTTGAGAATTTTTTTGCCCAAGTCTAACAAAACAAACAATAACTCTGTTTTTTATAAAACATCTAATTGATAACTTCAGTTAAAATAACTAGGTTACATTTTTCAAATGCTCTCATTCATCTGGAAAATTCACTGTAATATATGTTGTATCTATGTTGTATGTGTATATATACACACATACTATTTTAGGAGAAAACATCAGAATTTCAGCTTGGTAATTTAAATAATGTCAACTATGCATGTTTATTTGTAAAACTTCCCATAGTGAAACATGTTACAGTTACCTATAAACATTCATTTTTCCCTATTTACAATTTGAATTTTGGAATGGTTGTATAATGCAACCAATTGAGTTATAGAAGTCACAAAAACAATATAAATCTGATGCCCAATCCTTTACAAATATGAAATTACTTTCATTGGGTTTTCAAATTGGCAAGTATAGAGGTCAGCAATATTTCAGATAGGCACTTCAACAATTATTCAAACAGATGAAATGTAGAAAGGGTAGAACAAATCTCAATATTAATCTAACCCTTAATTTCAGATGTGATTAATCTGAGAAAGTCTATATTAAAGAGTGTTATAAACTTTTATTTCTTGCCCTTCTGCCTTCACTTGACCCAAGGCAAGATAAAAATGAAATACATAGATACTAGTATAGACATTACCAGACCAGTTAATGTGCTTACACTAGAAGGAACTAAACATTATCTAATGGCTCTGATGTTTCAGAAAGTGACTATTTTATCACAAAAACTGATACTTCTTTTCAGAAACATGTATAACTCATTGGTCTCACGAAGATGAAAATGGTATCTCTACGATATTCCTAGACAAAAATGTTTTCAAACGTACTATTTAATTGAATTAAAACTATTAGTGTGGCTCAGTGATTGAGCATCAGCCCATGCACTGAGAGGTGGCTGGTTCGGTCTCAGTCAAGGAATGTGCCTTGCAGGCTCATTCCCCAGTATGGGGTGTACAGAGACAACTGATAAGTCTCTCATCAACCATGTTTCTATCATTCTCTCTCCTTTCCTCTCTCTGAAATCACTAAAAACAAAAATCTTTTAAAAACTATTAGACTTCGGTACTCTTCAAACACTGAACTTTTTAAATAGAAAAATTAAATATTATTTTAAAAATAGAGGAATTGAAAAATTAGATTTACTAATACTTTATACTTTTAAGGTTTAAAAAAGTAATAAGGAACAGATGTTTTGTTTTGCCAGCCTTTTGTGAAAGACCTTTTAAACGTATAACTTTGGCAAACTCATTTTCAACCTTAAACCAAGTTTTCTGAATATTTGCACTATATCTTTTGGTAGTTAAAATAATACTTGACTAGAAGATATTAATTCACATTGTTTCATGAATTCTGAATTATTTCCCCTATTGCCAAATTACAACATTAGTAAAGAAAAAGTTTACCCAGGAAGGGTTAAAATATGAGGTTTTATTAACTAAAAATTTTAGGTGAGAAAAGTAAAATCTCATTAAACTTGTTTTATTTCTGGCGTTTTACAGTTTGAGTAATTTCTATAACCCAGATACCCAAATGTAGTTTAATAAATACAAGTTTTTACTCATTTGAACATGGTTAGCTGTTTCAAGTGCATTTATCAAAATCACTTGCTATGTATGTCTATACATGAGGGCAAACAAAACTAATTTCCCAAAAACAGTTGTGCTCCTTTAAAAGGAGAAACTGGCTTTAGCTCAATATGCTACTTGACACTTAAGTATCTTCTAAAATCCAAAGTCAGCCAATTTTCAAATAAGTAGAAAGTGAAAATACTTATTTAGAATGACAAAAATTAAGCTTGGCAAAAGTAGTGACTTTTATTTACAATTGCATTTATCAAGATTACAATAGAAACACTAGTGATATCATTGGAACAAAAGCAATGATTTATTGGTGATGCCAATGAATGGAATAGTGACAGTCTGGCGAGAATCAAGCAGTCACCCAGGAGCTGTAGGTCTGATTGCAACGTGGTCTTCCCGTGTCTTTTGTATCTTAGTGACTTTCTCCTTTTTTGCCAACTACCTAGAAAAATAAAAATAACTTTATATGTAGTTATTTTCAAAATAATATTAAAAAACAGTATTAACTGGTAATCATTTCTAAAACCGGGCATTAATTTTTATCCCTGTTTTTTTTTTTTTTTTGCATGCAGTATATTTCTATTCTTGAAACACATTGTGACCCTCCTTCCCTTCCAGCCTCAAGGAATTAAAAATAAACCACATGCAGGCTATTTTTGGTTTCCAACACCATTTTAAGAAAATGTAATGCAATTTTTCAAAACAAGGTTGACAGTTTAGAGAAGTTAATAAGTGAAAAGAATGCTATATGAGTGAAACATATTTGGCATACTATTTTTAGACAATTAGAAATCAAACACAAATAATCTAGAATTTGAAGAGTACGCTAAGCTTGTCTTCACATTCAAGATTAACAGATTTCTAGACATTTCTCTCAATATGTAGACATATAATAAATTACTAAAAATGACTAATTTTGCCTAGTTTCTATTTTTCAGACAATCTGGTGGCAAGAAAAAAAAACCCTAGCGGCTCTAAATGTACTATAAAAAATGTAAAGAATAGCTTGGTGGTTGATCGTCAAACGTATGACCCAGGAGGTTGAGTCTGATTCCCAAGCAGGGTATATGCTCGAGTTGCAAGCATGATCTCCAGTAGCGGATGTGCAGGAGGCAGCCAATCAATGTTTCTCTCTCATCATTGATGTTTCTGTCTCTCTCTCTCCCTCTCTGAAATCAATTATATATATATATATATATATATATATATATGTATAGAATAAATCTTGTTTCTGTCAATGATTAGAAAAATTGTCTATTTAGAGAAGTGTTTAAACGTCCTACTTACTATAAACGTGGCAGCATAAAAATATAAAGAATAAACTTGTTTCCTACCAACTGTTCTATTTGTTTTCTTTGTAGTTTTTGTTTCGTTTTGTTTTTTTCTTATAACTACCAACAGTTCATGAAAACAAATTTTCTGTGGGGAAATTCTAGAACTATGTTCTAATTGAATAATATACTTCAAATCTAAAGTTTATCATTAATGTATTCTTATAGTAGAAATAACTTAAGAAATCTACTTGCAAGCTATTAAATATGTATTTTTATACAAAATATTTCTATATACATTTGTAAAAGTAAATTCCATATTTAATTTGACTCTCTTCCAAATGGCAGTATCTGAATCAAGGAAAACTCAAAAAGTTCTTCAGTACATGTCTGGTCTAAAAATAAAACATGGCTGGGTCAATGTCTTTCATGAGATAAGACTATAAAACCCCTTCCACTGAATATCCAACCACTTAATGCTAATTAATGCTAAACTGCTGTTTTCCCCACCTCAAGTAAAATCACTTTTATCACTTGAAAGGAATTCCTCTCTGATCCAAGGAAACAATGTGTTAGCAAGTCCAAAAAGCCAGACAGATGCTAAAGAGATAGTTTCAGAAAAGAATATGCAGATGGGAGTAAGGAATTCAGGTTTAAGAGCCAAGAGGATGCCAAAACCGGTTTGGCTCAGTGAATAGAGCGTAGGTCTGTGGACTAAAAGGTCCCGGGTTAGATTCCGGTCAAAGGGCATGTACACTGGTTGCGGGCACATCCTCAGTAGGGGGTGTGCAAGAGGCAGCTGATCGATGTTTCTCTCTCATCAATGTTTCTAGCTCTCTATCCCTCTCCCTTCCTCTCTGTAAAAAAAAAAATCAATAAAATATATATATTTTTTAAAAAGAGCCAAGAGGAGACTTCTTAAAAAAGAAGAGGTGATGGAACTATTTGTATCACAAATGAATTAAGCAGAGACACTGAAAGCATTATTGATCACTGTTATCACTTGGGAACAAACACAACAGAGCTATTAGATTAAGCAAAAAAGCAAAAAGAATATTAAAAATTAACATTTTAGCAGATGTGATACGGAACACACAAATCTGCATACTGTTTCACAGGTTGATAGCTCTCAACTTGCCAATGTGTATTCTCTGCAAAAAAAAAGAAATGTAACATTCCAATATGGATTTTCTTACCCAAATATAAAGCTCTTTTATTTCTTTTTCAGTTTTTATATTAACAACACAGAAACCAAAGTCTATGTACATCAAAATTAGGCATCCATAGTACTTATTCAGTAAAGAGTCCAGGTTTCTTCCATATTAATATTTAAACCAGACTAATATTTAGTCCATAAGTCTTTCAACTGGCCTTGAGTTTGCTTGGGCAGACAACTAATAAGCAAAATGACTTATGGGCCACAGTTCCAATGAGGAAAAAAAAAGAAGAAACCCACATCTCTTAGCTACAGCCTAATCAATATATTGCACTAGTGCTCATATAAAAGAACTTGATGAAACTATTTATATTTGGTTCCCAAAATGATTTCATAGTTCCTAAAAAATAAATTTAAACTTCAGATTGGATTAAAACAGTATCCAACAAGTAGTAAAATTTGAAACTACAACAATGTATATTTTATTGCAATATTATTTCACAAAGATAGTACAAAATTAAATATGAGACGGGAGAATGGAAAACAACAACAGAAATTCAGGAGAACAATACAGTATGGTAATAAAATGGAAGCACCTAGTTGCAAGCCCAAAACCAAAACCAAAACAAAATGAAAAGGCAGTAGAGAAAAATAACTAGAATGAGATTTGAGGAACAAGATAGCTGAGGAAATCTAGGTAACAGTAAGGCTGATCCAGATGACAGAAGCTGTAGACATCCTGTACCAACAATGATGAGAACATGGGAAGGGTGAGAGCAGACAGGTGCAAGATGAGCAGAGAAGCAAGGAGGGGAGTGAAGTGAGATAAGGTCAATCTTTATATTCATTTTTTTTAAATCTTCTGGTTTTAGTTCATTTGAGTTGGATTAAAAAAGCTGAAAAATAAACAGACAGAAAAGTTACAAAAATAGCTGATATGGTGAATGGCCAGTTTAGAAAAGTCTATTTTTATAATGGGGATAGAAAACCTGCTCTGCTTTTTGCATGCACCTCATTCCCTAAGCAGCACAAGCTCCTTCAATTTTGCTCATTTCTGTACTTATGTCTTATTACTTTTGTATTAAAATAAAGCAATCGGTGTAGAGCGTTTTTTAGCAAATAAAACATCTACTTCCAATTAGGATGGCAAGCTTTTCATGCTGCAAGACACAGAATCCATTTACAACACTAAACAACATAAGTGTGTTATAATCTGTGCACAATGCCTAGAAGAGTCAAAAACAGATAAATGGAAGGTGTATTCAAGTCTACCAAATCTTAAAGGTATAACCTCATTTAGATATAACAGCATGCAAGGTGGTCTAAGATTTCTACCCACATCTAAGATTCATTAGCATTCTTAGCTTCTGTCATCTTAGTGACTGACCATAGGGAGAAGGTCAATGACATTCTGAAAACTAAAATTATCTAGGAACAACTCATACAACATAAAAATGTAAACTGAAAATGCTAAATAATTTTATTTTACCATGCACTAAAGCATTTTATATCACTTTCCTACACAGAGGTATTAAAATTTTCTTCTCTGTGCTGATAAAATATGTACCAGATCTATTTTAAAATTTTAAATTCTAATTATTATGCATAATCCCTTTAAAATCCAGACTGACTAAATAAGGGAATGAAGGGCGATACGTGACTGGTCCTAGAATGAATCCTGCTTCTTCCCACTTTGATGCCAAGCTCCTATTTTTCATTCTACCCATAGTGCCCACTGTTGTTTTCTTCTCTATCCATTTCTAATACTAAAGTTTATTCAAGGCCCTCTTCCTTCACAAAATACTCTCATCCTCTTCCAGCAACCATTGTGAAGTCTAAAGATACTCAGAGAAGAGAGCCTTGAGCTAAGCTTTGAATCGCTTGATTGACTTTCCAGGTGTTATGTAAATTTGCTCTAGACAGGGATCATGACAGTACCTAGCACAGTACTACAAAAACAACAAATATCATACCACATGTCAATTATCTCTCACACTAGAAACCATAATCACTTTTAATAGGCAACTCTATACAAGGACCAAACTGGCCAATTTCAGTTACAGACATTAATTCTATTATAATTTTCTTACACTGAAGTTGTTGATTTACCATATTATATTTTTGAAGAAATGAAATTAGCTTACTTTTGAGAAATAACCCTACAGAACAATAACTACACAAGCAAAACAAATCTCACTCAGAAATTATTAAAAGGAAACGTAATGTAATATTAATATATGTAAGAAAATCATTCAATCAATTAAAATGTATTAAACATTAAAGGCCAGGGCAAAAGAAGTTCCAGAACACCAAGAAGGAAGTCCATTCATTATAGTAATAAATTATTCTCACAGCAGTTCTCAGAGTGGTCCAGGCTGGAGGTTCCTAAGACCCTCTCAGGAAGTCTTCAAGCTAAAAACTATTTTCATTGCTAGATTGGTATCTGCATTTTTAACTCTCATTTTTTCACAAGTGTACAATGGAGTTCCCAAGAGGCTACATAACCTGTGACAGCAAAAGTGAGTGAATGCAGAAACAGATGAGAGAATTCTACCAAGCTAAAAGTAAAGAAATTCATAAAAGTGAAAACAATACTCTTGCTCTAAGCTAGTTTTTGTTTTGGAAATTATATACTTAATTTAAAAATATTATTTGTGCTAATATACAATGAATTTATTATTTGTAAATAAATATTTTTTTTTAATTTCTCAGTTTTAATTTCTTAAATGGTAACTATTAGATAAGTATAGCACTCAGAAGCAAAAAGTCTTATTGATCCTCAAAAATATTTAATAGTGTAAAAGGGTCCTTGAGTCCAAAAAGTTTGAAAATTACTTCTCAATAATAATTTTAAATAAGGTAAAAAGTTGTTTAGTTAAATGAACACATAGCCAAATTATAAAACAAACACAAATACTCTCACCGTTTTTACTACAAAAAGTAGTCTGGTAGTCAAAAACAGAAAAACTAATTTAAATGAGGTAGAAAGGGGATGTTAAAAACAAAGAGTAGAGACAGATTCTTAGTGGACAATTGATAACCCACATTAAAAAAACTAATCAATGGCAGGTTAATAAGAAGATAGATAAGATAAAGTAGAGGTTACTGAGAAAAAAATCAAACTCCAATTGACAGAAAAAAACAAACTCCAATAGCATAAGCTAAGGTGAGAAGCAAGAAATCATAGCTGAATTAATAGTAAGGGAAAATAAGAAGACTGAGTAATAGATCTTATGAAAATATTAATCTAAAAACAAACTACGTAAGAAACAGTTAAATGGCATTTAATTCAAACAGGCAAATTAACAAAGCAGGCAGCCAAAATGTCTTTGAAGCTCACACATTCTCCCAATATAGCACACTTCACATCATAAATATGTAGATGTTTAATCTCTGCTTCTTCTGACCTGCCATTATACATGCCAAACGTTTAATATGACAGATCTAAGTACATGATTGTTCATACAGCTCCCAAAAGTTAATTATATCGTGAGACAGGAAGATTATACTTGTAAAATGACCGGTTAAACTATCTATTGTCAAAGTTATAAATTTTGTAAAAACAGCTAACATTTTATAATGGCATCCAATGTTATGCAATTTTATGAAAATTTCTGTAAATGAATTAAAATTAGATCTGTGGATACCATAAAAAAATAAGAATAAAAGTTTTCAGGATGTTCTACCGCTCCAATGCCCCCAAAACAGGGGTCAAACTATTAGGCTGGTGCCTCTTCCTCTAAGCATTGGCAATCCAGAAAAACTCTTCCTCTTTTATAAACATCTCAAGTTCTAGACTGCCTGCCAGATGCAACCACCAGGAATATTACGCTAACTACATCTCCTATGCTGCTGCACATTTAATCTGTGCACAGCACCTGTGTTCTGTACAGATAAAACTCTTGGTGGCAGTTCTTTAACATTGTATTTTTTACTTCCCCTAAATACCATTTCAACAAACTTACTCGTTTGAAGTCATTCATATTTGTTGCCTGGACTGGAGTACCAATGAAAGTAAAATATGAAATTCTTGTTGTTTCTTCTTCACCTTGATTGGACTGAACAAATATCTACCAAAAAATAGTAAAAATATTTTTTACAGTTATGCCTGCAATCCTTTCATAAAAATGCCTCAGTTTCATCAATTTCCTTAGATTACTAACAAATTTATCTTCCCCTCTTCCACTCTTTAATCCAAATTACATTAGACTAGTACTTCTACAGGACCATTAATTCCGGTATTTGCCCTGCTATTCTCATCTATTCCAGGAATGTCCTGGCAAGTCACCCACATATATAAGTTCTTGATAATTTAGTATGATGGCATGGAGGGGTCAAAATTAAAGCCTTCATAATGAATGCTGAAAGATTATGAAATTCACAATTATAAGTGGCAGAGTGCTGTTGAAATTTTATAAAAAATTATAGTTCACTGAGGAATATTTCTGCAGTTAGTCTTTCTGATATTCATTCATTCCAATTTTCTAGACTATTATGAGAAAAAAACAACTGTATTGGAAATCATCAGTCAGGCTTTGTTGTTTGTATAGGCAACTACATTTTCATATCAAACTGAACTGATCAATGAAAAAAGCCAAGTCTATAATTAGTAGACTATTAAATCAGCTCTCCATTTTTTTATTTATAATGCTCTTTGAATCTAAGCACAAATGTTTTTATATTTACTGCTTTTAAAATTCATCCACTGACTTTGATTAGACTTTCTGATCAAAACTGTCATTTCAATTTCAACTTTATCAAAAAAAGTGACAGACATTCTTTCTGTGTCAACTGAAATTCTGACTGAGACAGGACACAGTACATAAAGACTTGAGCCCATCACGAGGTAACTGTGCTCATGATTCTAATGGCAGAGGAGAAAGCATCGGGATCTCTGCGTTGAAAGGGCTTTCCCAATAAATAGCTGCCTTCCTCTCATCAAATAAAGCAAAAGGTGTTATCATGAACACGTTTCAGCATTCTTCTAACTTTCCAAAACAAGAATTGTTCCACTAAAACAAAGAAATCACATTAGTTTGGCATGACCTGTTCTCAGTGACTGTGCTGATTCCCACTTCTCTTTCTAAGTGTTCTATTCTACTCTAACCCTCCCTCCTCTCCTCTGAAGGACAGAGCTGGGGTGAAGAGCATGTGCTGGGTTTTAATATCCAAATTCACAATGGAGTTAATAACTGCTAACAGCATACTTTTTCAATACAAATTAATATAAACTATATTTTAAAGTCACTTTTGCTGAGATCATGATCACTACATTATTAATAAGTCAATGTTCTAGTAAAGTACACTGAATTTTACAAATGCATCACTCATTACCAGGTATGAATAATAAGGCACAAATGTACTCAGTTAAATATAAATGCTATAGAATAAACATTTAATAATAGTTGCTAAATATGTATCAGATAAGTAAACTGACAATCCACAAAGTTTAAAAATATCAACCTGTCCTTCCCTTAGGACACACAGATAAATTAAGAAGAAAATTTAAGTCTTGGCCAGTTTGGCTCAGTGGATAAAGCTCAGTAGACTGAAGGGTCCCAGGTTCAATTCCGGTCAATGATCCTCTCACATCATTGTTGTCTCTCTCTCTCTCTCTCTCTCTCTCTCTCTCTCTCTCTCTCTCCCTTCCTCTCTGAAATCAATAAAAATATATTTTTAAAAAAATTTAATTAGCTAATTTTTACTTATTTCAAACCAAGTAAACAAATAACTACGTAAAGGATCATATCTTAATGAAATACTACTTACAGTTACACTGTTAACATTCTGAAACTTAACATAGCGAAGTGGGACAATGCTATCCTCTTTAATATCATCCTCTGTTAGTTCCAGAGCTTGAGTTGGTTCACTTCTTTCTGCTTCTTCAAAATCCATAGATCGGGGTAGATTGATAAAAATTTTTACGTATTTAGGACCTTGACCTATAAAATAGTAGAACAAAATGCTAAAAATTAAACATATATTTTCTTCCCTTTATTATTACATTCATACTATAAAGACACATAAACAAACATGTGCACATATCTACATACATCTTTTGGAATTCTAAGAAAGTCTGACTATTTTCATAGCCATTTCTTGGCCTGCTAGCACTATACTCTAGGAATTCTAAATCAAAAGATATATATATATATATATATATATATATATATATATATATATATATATATCCACCCACATACACACAGTTCTTGCCCTCAACTACAAAAGATGTACTATGTAAATATAATACTACTAGTGAGAAAGTATAGAGAAAGTAGCAATGGAGTCAGACAGTATATGCAGGTTAACAAGTCTCATAAAAGAAAGAACATTTGATCGGGTCTTAGTTGCCAACAATTGGTACATTTTGTAAGAGGAAAGCTTTAGTGACACAATTAGTCAAAAGGAGGCTAATTATATAAATTGCCAAATTTCATCTTGGGAAATAGGATGTGCTCAGTGGTACAATCACATTCATAGAGTGTCTTAGTCCCTTTAACTTCAAGGTACAATTTAAACCTATTTTCTAGCTGATTAAAGAATCTTAAAATATTAACATTGCTTAAATACTCATTTCTACAGCATTTGCTTTTACAAATACTTTGGATTTTCAGAATAAAGACTCAATTGCATTAATAAAAATGAAATCTACTCTCTCCTCCCTCCTCCTATTCCAGCTCACCCCAAGAACAACAAAACTTCCAGACACAGGAAAAGGAGGAAAGAAGGGTGGGAAGAGTAAATAAGGAAAGTTCTTAATTTAATACAAATAGAAATGCCTAATCTGGGCAATCATATTTACAGCATCATATCTATAAATAATATGACTCTATTAATAGAGTACAAATAGGACAATCTTGAACCTTAGTTTTATCATCTGTAATAGGAGTTTGAAAGAAATAAATTATATCCAATTTTGATCGTTAATGACTGCTTCAAACCTAGAGTTTTAGAGTCATAGTTGGTAGGGTTCACTTGCTTTCAGATAAAGAGGAAACTTAAATTAAAATTTTTAGAAATAAATCTCACATTATCTGCTCATTTATATCCTTGCTTTGTTCCAAAAACAATTTCATTCTTTCCTCCAAACAAGGAATATCTACATTTACTAAAAAAGTAAAGGTAGACCTTCTAACAGGACTATAGATCAGAATGTCATTTTAGAGAAAAACTGTCCATTACTTACCATTATCTGGCCCTTGAAATTTCATTGAATAAAGCTTCACAGGTTGATTAAATGCCACAGTAATAAGGAGCTGTGAAGAAAATAATTGTTTAACTTTCAAAGGGCTCCTGAAACACCTTGAACACACACAACAGCTAATTCAGAGCCAAAAATTTTTAAATTTATCTAATAACACTAATGTAATAGGTAAAGTCAGTAAGTTGAAAGTAACTTGATTAGACTGATATCTGAAAAATACAATTATCTATTATTCATATAAGAGAATGACAACAAGTTTAATGGAATAATCACACAATATAAAGAGAGAGAGAGAGTCAGAGAGGGAGAAATATGCTAATTAGTCAGGGCCATGACAGGTCGACTGTTCAGGAGGAGGTTACACGCGCAGCTTCGGGGGCTGGGTAGCAGAGGCCTCCAAGCGCCTGGGCTGGGGAAGGGCCTGATCATCAGAGGGCCAGACAGAGAGACAGGGCCAGACGGCAGCTGCAGGGCCCAGGTAGCGAGGCAGGGCAGTGCCACGGGATTTCGAATCGCACTCTGGGCTCCTAGTTAACTAAATTATGCATAAGAACATAAGGTCTTGTGACCTATAAACTGGCAAGTAATTTGCTTTCTAAAAACTCAAAACAAAATTCCCCAATTAAATTAAAATTTATACTATTTATGCTAACATATAAGCTTATTGTTTTCCAGGATGGTTTATTTATCAAACACCTACCTATGTTGACAATTTGGAGACAATGCACAGGAGTGTTATGTGGAAAGACTAACCCTCAAATGGACTCTACTTGATCTAAAACTCCAGAGAAGCTGAAACCGGGAAACCGGTTTGGCTCTGTGGATAGAGTGTCGGCCTGTAGACTGAAGGGTCCAGTGTTCAGTGTTCAATTCCGGTCAAGGGCATGTATCTTGGTTGCGGGCACATCCCCAGTGGGGGGTGTGCAGGAGGCGGCTGATCGATGTTTCTCACTCTCTATCCCTCTCCCTCTCTGTAAAAAAATCAATAAAATATATTATATATGTAAAAAAAAAAAAAAAGACATTTTAAAAAAATAAATAAAACTCCAGAAAAGAGGATTCCTACAGCTCTACAGTTGTCTCCAAACCCATACAAAATGCTGTCTCTCAGAAACTTGAATTTAATCGCTTTATCTTCTTCTCAGCCAAAATTGAGTCTGATGTAGGTGCCTATGCTTCTACCTGGCAGGAAAATTTTAGGAAAGTTGTAGCCAGGCCTGCTGATAAATACCATCAAATTATATTCACAGCACAATTTACAAGAAACACAGAGTGAACAATTTTCTCAAAGTTATATGTTAAGGTAGATCTGGTTGGAGCATAGAAAATGGGGGTTAGATTTATGGTTTTAGAATCATTAGTATATGTCTGCCTAAGAAAATACCTAGACTATATCCTTTAGTTAATTAAGTACATTTTATACTTGATCTCTAATAGTGTGTCAAAAAATAATAAGCGTGCTGAAACCGGTTTGGATCAGTGGATAGAGCATCAGCCTGCGGACTGAAAGGTCCCAGGTTTGATTCCGGTCAAGGGCATGCATCTTGGTTGCGGGCACATCCCCAGTGGGGGGTGTGCAAGTGGCAGCTGATCGATGTTTCTCTCTCATCGATGTTTCTAACTCTCTATCCCCCTCTCTTCCTCTCTGTAAAAAATCAATGAAAAATATATAAAAATTAAAATAATAATAATAAGCACAGCATGTTTAGGAATCTGAACCACGAGTGAAAGGAGATGAGAGTAAAAGCTAGAAACATCAAGTTGGCACGAATTTGACACTCTAAGCCAAAGAAGAATCATTTAATTTGTAACAAGCATGACTAGATTTATATTGAGAAAGAAATAGCTTTAGTGAACATGTAGAAGATGAACTGGAATGGAGACAAAGCAGTCAGTAGAATAGAAAGTAAATTAAGGAAAGTAACAGTCAAGAAGAACAATGGCTGATCGAGGCCATCCTCTGTGACAACAATGCCGGGAAGTACAACACAGGTTTACTTCTGGGAGTGAGGATTAGACTTATGGGGAATGCTCATTTTTTTTGTGAATAAAATGAATGCAAGTCAGGTAAAAATGAACAAAAGGACTAAAGAGTGGTGAAGGTTCAACTCAGCAGTGGAGCCAACTCAAGAGTTCCACGGTTCTCCCTAGTGCACTTGGAGCTCACACAGAGAGAAAAAGAGATGGGTCTGCATTGGTCAAGGGGCAGGGGTCAAAGAAAATCAAAGTTTTGAAAAGGAAAGGAACAGTGGTCAACTGAGAAAGAGACATAAAACCATGAGATGGAAACAAGAGCAGCCATAAATATTGATAATCCCTATGCCTTAACTCAGACATCCAGTTACCTGTTCATCACAATCAGACTCCAAGAAGGTCATGTCTTTTCGTAAACAGTTGTCAAATCCATGCTCATCACTTTCATTAAGACATTCACAGCCAGCTTTGTTAATAAAAGGCATTAAATCCATCTGAAAAAATAAATCAACATTTTAGGTAAAGCATTTGGATTTGGTTTAAAGATCTTAATAAAAAATGTAAATATATAATTCTCTCTAGGCAATTTTAGAGAAAATATCTCTCGCTTTTAAAATAGTAATTAACTCTAGCTGGTTTGGCTCAGTGGATAGAGTGACAGACTGAAGGGTCCCAGATAGAGCGATGGACTGAAGGGTCTCAGATTTGATTCCGGTAAAGGGGCACATGCCCGGGTTGAGGGCTTGATCCCCAGTTGGGGACGTGCAGGTGAGGCAGCCGATCAATGACTCTTTCATCATTAATATTTCTCTTTCTCTCTCTCCCTCTCCCTTTCTCTCTGAAATCAATAAAAATATATTTTTAAAAAATAATAAAATAGCGGTTAAACTTTAATAATACTTCTATTTGATTTCTGACTGAGATCTACCTCTAATTATTAAAGACAAATCTAGGCTTAGCCCACTTAATAAGGTATCAGAAATCAAGTCTTTAACGCTAAGATTTTAAAATATGGACTGATACTTTTTTAATATTGGTATTTAATAGTGGAAAGTAGGCAAATTAAAATATCTGTAAAATTTGAAGCCTTCCTCCCTCTTCTTGTGGCCATGAACTCTTTAAACCTGTTACATTAAAGATGACTAGTACTCCAGGTACCCACCTCCCAGGTACAATAAACATCAAGTTATGCCCACTCCTATTTTATCTTTACCCTGCAACCAGCCCTCAGCTATTCCCAACTATTTTCATGTAAATCTTAGTTGTTGTTTTGTTTTGTTTTTTTCATTTCACTCATAAACATTTCAGTGTGCATTTCTAAGTGATAAGAACTCATTTTTAAAAATCTTCAATATCATTATCACAACTAAAACAAAAATACTATTTAAAAAATCATCAGTGCTCTAACCGGTTTGGTTCAGTCAAGGGCATATACCCTGGTTGCAGGCATGTCCCCAGGAGGGGGTGTGCAGGAGGCAGCTGATGGATATTACTCTCTCATCAATGTTTCTAATTCTCTCTCCCTCTCCCTTCCTCTGTAAAAAAAAAAAAAAAAAAAAAAAAAAATCAATAAAATATATTTTTAAAATAAAAAAATCATCAAATATAAGTGTTTAAATATCCTCAATTATCTGAAAAAGGTGAAAGAATAAAAAGAATTTTTCCTTAATTGTTCACAAATGTTTTATAGTTGGTACTAGAGGTCTGGTGCACAAAATTCATGCACGGGTGTGGTCCCTAGGCCTAGCTGGCGATCGAAGTGCAAGCATCTGGTGTGGAAGGGCAGGTCCCAGCTGACCTTTGGGCTCTGAGCAGCACCTGGGCCTCTGGGCCCCCACATACCCCCTCTCCTTGAATCACTGTGCCCTACCCCCCACAGGGAGATGTGGTGAGCACAGCCAGACACTGAGGACGAGGGCACAATGTGGGCCTCTGGGCCGCCCAGTGGGCAGCATGCTCTCTCCTGGCTGGTCTCACAGACCAGCTCCTGTGCGAACCCATGGGGAGCCCGACAAACCCTTGTGGTCCTGGGGGCTGCAGCCCAGCTCACCCAGAAGACGCTGTGCAGTGCAGGGTGGGCTCCTTGTGGGTGCCTGGTACCTAAACCCAGGGAAGGGTAGCAGGGAGAGTGAGAGTGAGCTCAGTGGGCACCAGGCATTCTCACACCCTCATCCCCATCACTTCCACCCCCAGGTAGTAGCAAGAGGTTGCAGTGTGTCACCAACACACACCATGTTCTGTGCTGCTCCTTGGTAGTCAGCACATGTCAAAGGAAGCAGTTGAACTCTCGGTCAAGGGGACAATTTGCATATTAGGCTTTTATTATATAGGATTACTAGACTCAGAATACAGATTAAAAAAGTACGACTGTATTTGGTTAACATGTCTCTTAAATATCTTATTGTAGTCATTTAGCCTTCACATTTCTAATATTCTAAGTGTTTGCTTACTGCTTCCCTGTGGTGTCATTTAACATATTTCTGTGTATCTGTTAGCTAATATTGCCATATTTCCAACACTATGTGCCAAGAGATGTGGTGACAGTGGCTATCCTTGTCTTGTTTCTAACTTTAGTGGGAATGATTCAGTGCTGCTCCATTAAGATTTTAATGAATTCTTTATAATAAATAAGTAGTAAATTTTGTCAAGTACCTTTCTTGCATATTATGAAGTCATTATTTTTCTCTTCTGGATTGCTGGATTTTGCTTACTAATATTATCTTACAACAATAATCCTAACTGAATCTGGTCAGCAGCTTTCTATTTTGGTGCAAACTATCAGATTTTGGGATCAATATCATACATACTTCAATAGAAATTTGAAAGTTTCTCTCTTTTTATATGGCTTTAATAAGTACTTGCAGTATAACACTAGGCTATCTGACCTTTAGGATTTGGTAGAATTCCCCTGTGAAGCCATCTTGGCCTTTATGAAAGAGCTCTTTTAGTAGTTTCTCTATTTCTTCTATTTGCTCTACAGAGTCTGGTCTATTTAAGCATTCTGCTTTTGGAAAAGTTGACTTTGATAAACTGTATTCTTATATAAAATTATCAATTTCATCTACTAAACAAGGACAATTTTTAAAGCTTATCAGATATTATCAGTTACATGTTCACCTTTCCATCAAAGAGTATTACATATTTTTTATCCAAAAAAACTAAGGCATGTATAAATAGTTTTGAAAGACTAAAGGAAACTTTTTATATGTCAAATAATTATCATATGGCAATAAACCATTAGAATAGACCCTAATTATTCTTGTGGTAGCCTAAATGTTTTCAAAGCCAAAATGTCATTTTCTGTTACATTAAATGTTAAATATATTACTCAGTATAACATATTGTAGTCAACTCAAAGGGGGGGTGTAAAAAAAAGCATTATAGAGCAAAGTGTTGCAGATGTATGCTGAATTTTTGAGTATTTGCGTTGAAAGGATGTTTTTTCTTTTTAATATATTTCATTGATGTTTTACAGAGATGGTAAGGGCTAGAGTTAGAAACATCGATGAGAAAGAAACATCAACCAGCTGCCTCTTGTACACCCCCTACTGGGATGTGCCGGCAACCAAAGTACATGCCCTTGACTGGAATCGAACCTGGGACCCTTCAGTCCACAGACCAACGCTCTATTCACTAAGCCAAACCAGCTAGGGCTGAAAGAGTGTTTTAACAAAATCTTTTAAATGCTTAGTTCTTCCATCCTACTGAGGTACAGCTTCAATACTACATCTCAGATAGATTAAGATCCCAGGCATGAAGACAACATTGTAGTCATATTTCCAATACTCTCATGATGAAAATAAATTAAATAGGTTAATTATTTTAAATAGGTTTTAGATTTATGTATCATGGGGCACACAAAACAATTACATTCAAACTGTTGCATTAAAGTGCTTCGGATATCTCAAATAAATAGACATTATATTGTATATCTGACGTAACTGACATATTCTGACAATATGCAGTGGGAAATAAATATCACCTGTCTGTATAACAACTTGCCAATAATAAGGAAAGAGTCACAAGAAAAAAGCGGACAAATCCAGATTGTGGGACAGTCTATAAGACAGATGGTCTAGACCTGTGCTGTATAATAAGATACCCATTAGCCACATGTAGCAATTTAAAATTAAATTAATTAAAAGTAGAGAAAATTAACTTTCATTTCCTCAGTTGCCCGAGTCACATAACAAATGCTTAATAGCCTCTTGTGCCTAGTGGCTACTGTATTAGACTGGTGCTGGTTAAACTTTCAAAAAATGCAGTCACAAAAGGAAAAAAAAGGCAGAGAAGTTTCTAGACTAAACAACACTAGAGAGAACTGACGACTTAAATACAATGCACGATCCTTGATTTGATCCTGCGTCGAAAAGAAAACAACTATAAAGTATATTTTGAAGATAATTAAGAAAATTTGAATGCAGGCTGTACATTAGAGATACTGTAGCAATATTAAGTTTCTTAGGAGTGATAATGGTATCATGGTTATGCAGAATAACGTCCTTATTCTTCAGAGCTATATACTAAAATACTGAGAGATGATCCATCATGTCTATAACTCACTTTTAAATGCTTTTGCAAAAATTAAATACAGAAAGATATCAAGATACAGCAAAATCCTTAAAATATCTACAACTGATGAATATAAGTGAGGGTATATGTGTTTGTAGTATTACTGTCAACTGTTTTGTTTTTTTAGTAAGTTTCACTTTGTTTTTCCTTTTTTTTTTTTTGAGGGAAAATCCAACATGAGATACAAAGAAAGTTACAAAAATCTTTCCATTCTTCAAGTTTTTGATTAAAGAAATATCTACTAACTATACAAATTAGAGTCATTTAATGTTTTTTGATTTTGATAAATAATGACAAATTTGTAGACCAAAACTTAATAGTTCTGAGGTCAAAATACTTGAATATACTAACAAGCCTCAAGATTCAGAACATGTGCAAGTCCAATTCCAGAATGCCTCACATTCAAACTTTGGGAAAGAAAGACTTGATTTAGAAGGCATGAGGGGAGCTATTTGAATCTATACTATGTACTCTTAGCAAATTATGGGACAGAAAAGATATGTTTTAAATTTTCCCTTCAATAAACATTTACAAAAATTAAATACTTATACTCACATAACAGCCTTACTTCTGAATAAGAATATGTTATGAGCCGAAGCCGGTTTGGCTCAGTGGATGGAGCGTCGGCCTGCGGACTGAAGGGTCCCGGGTTCGATACCGGTCAGGGGCATGTGCCTTGGTTGCGGGCACATCCCCGGTGGGGGGTGTGGAGGAGGCAGCTGACCGATGTTTCTAACTCTCTAGCTCTCCTCTTCCTCTGTGTAAAAAATCAATAAAAATATATTTAAAGAAAAAAGAATATGTTATGATTCTTAACCTTCTGAGTATCTTTTGCAGTATCTCAAACTGCCCTAAAAGATACATGTATGTATCTTATTCTGGCTCCAGTCAAATTGGGAGTTTTGAAACTATGGCATGTATAAGATAAATAATTGTACAGCTATTGCCTCTGAGTATTAAAACAAAATAACTAAAAGTCTTTATTCCAAGAAAGCAAAATTTGTATTTTAAAACTGTCAATACATTTTTAATAATGTTTATAAAAAACTAGAGGCCCCAGTACATGAAATTCATGCATGGGGATGTGTGCTCCTCAGCCCAGCCTGCATCCTCTCCAATGTGGAACATCCCTCTCATAATCCAGGACTAATGGCTCCCAACTGCTCGCCTGCCTGCCTTCCTGATTGCTCCTAACTACTCCTGCCTGTCAGTCTGATCACCCCCTAACCACTCTCCTGCCAGCCTGATTGATGCCTAATTGCTCCCCTGCAAGCCTGTTTGCCCCTAACTGCCCTCCCCTGCAGGCCTGGTCACCCCTAACTGCCCTCCCCTACTGGCCTGATCTCCCACAATTGCCCTCCCTTGCAGGCCTGGTCCCTCCCAACTGCCCTCCCGTCCTGGCCATCTGGTGTCCACATGGGGGCAGGATCTTTGACCACATGGGGGCAGCCATCTCATGTGTTGGAGTGATGGTCAATTTGTATATTACTCTTTTATTAGATAGGATCTACTTAAGACGATGGTTTTCATTCAATGTCTCTTACTTCATTAAGTTTCTATGTATGTTGTGGGACAAATGTTTTTTTGGGAACTCATTACCAATATTAAATATTTACCAACCCTACTAAGATGTACATAGTTCAAAACTTTTCATGTCTTGATTGATATTAGATGGGGAAAAAAGAAAATATTTTAATAGCTCTTCACAGTATATTCACAACATTTATATGAAAATTGTTTTATTTCTTAAAACTTTATTTTTCCTGCTTATTTTCCTATCTGAGGCCAAAATGCCTCAGAGAGGGTGAGGGCTAAAGTTAGAAACAAATGCTGATATCACACTAAGCTGGTGTGTAAAAAAGTATCCCTGTAGCTAAGCAGCAGGACTATTGTGCTCTTAAGATATTTTCATGCAAACACCCTTGGTAATAAAAGGTAAAAAATACAAAGATGTGAACATAACAATTTACAAGTTAAATGATTTTCAAAATTTTCCAAAAGTTGTCATAACCCTAACTTCTAAACAGATATCACTATTTCAAATAATTATATAACAGTTCTATTTAAAATAAATATTAATTGCACAACCCTAACTAAAAATAATTGTCAGTACAACATGTTAAAGACACAACCCCACCACACCTTCATACACACAGAGAATCTCTCATATTTCCCTGACTATAATTCTCTTACATAAAGGACTTGTAGTCTCATAATACAGATCTGCTTTAATGTACTCACTATACATGCTTTCATATTTTAACTTTAATTTGAGGTAACACTTTTAAAAAAGCCATTTTTTGATCTGCCAATAACTTTATTTACCGATTTGCAGACGCAACTCAGCTACTATAAATTTGCTACTTCTGAATTTTAATTACTTCTTAAATAGCTCTCAAATATCAAGATATTACATTATAACTACTCATTAATTTTCAATATACTTTTAAGCTAAAATATATATATATATATTTAAACTCTTAAGTCTTCAAGTTATTATTTAGAAAAATAGTTTACTCTTAAAATTAAAAAAGCATACCCAATACTCAAGTCATATTTGGTTTTAAAACAAAATCAATAAACTAACATTATTTTTTGAGGGAAGAATGTATTTTTAAGTCTTAAAATGGCTATTAAAATAGTTTAGAAAGCAGATTTTTTTTTTTTAAGTGACAAAGAAATTTAGCAGGAGAAATTCAGGAAAAGTTTAGGATGGAAAACAGGTTATAACACATATATAGACAAATCCCAATAGTCAGCCAGTGAGTTTACTTTTAAAGTTCTCATTTGAAAGTATTTCAAGCAAGCAAAAGATAAACACAGTCAATTTTACTTTTACCCAATAATGGCAAATGGAAGGTATATCAATGATTTCATTAGTAAGTCTACATACATAGCCTTTTGGAATATCTGTGTCCTCATTACTTCCAGGGTCATTTTCTAAGTGCTGCTTGATTTTTTCTTCTAGTCCCACAGCATCTGCTCCTTGATATTGATCAATTCTCACTTTGTTACGAAAAAACAAAAACGTAGGTGTTGCTGATATGTTGTTAGTGGCAGCTGTTCCCTAGAAGTGGCAAGTTAGATAGCATTATGAATTTAAAAATAATTTTAAATCACTTTGAATATTTACTCTGTATCTCTATGGAAGTTAAATATCATGGACTACAAACATGTAAAATAATTTATTCCTAAAAGCTACTTAAGAAAAAGCAGGTCTATTCCCTTAACTACATTACCAATTCGGGCACAGTACATTATATTATTAGCTTTACATACACAATAAAGAACAGCCCTATTTTTTAAAAGTATATTTTATTGATATTTTTTACAGAGAGGAAGGGAGAGGGACAGAGAGCTAGAAACATCGATTAGGAAGAAACATCAACCAGCTGCCTCCTGCACACCCCTAGCAGGGATGTGTCCGCAACCAAGGTACATGCCCTTGACCAGAATCGAACCTGGGACCCTTGCGTCAGCAGGCGGACGCTCTATCCACTGAGCCAAACTAGTTTCGGCCAGCCCTCTATTTTTATCAGTTTTAGCATTAAATACTTCACACAGTAGAACAAGTTAGCTGATTTATAGAAACTGCTTTACAATGCCAGATAACTACATACTGTTTCCCAAGTGGGTATTGATATGTCAGCACAAAACACTGGTGCTAGGAAAAAATACACATATGAAAAAACAGTAGCCTATCTGACCATAAAACTAAGGTAACATCCTTTGCTGTTACTGCTGTAACAATTCTCACCCAGTTGTACTCATATAGAAATGCCTTCTGATCTTTTCAAATTCTGTTCCAACTCCACAATTTTTACAAGATTAATTAGTGAGCCCTAACTCGTTTGGCTCAGTGGATAGAGCATCAGCCTGCGAACTCAAGGGTCCCAGTTCGATTCCGGTCAAAGGCATGTACCTTGGTTGCAGGCACAACCCCAAAAGGAGGTGTGCAGGAGGCAGCTAATGCATGTTTACTCTTATCAATGTTTCTAACTCTCTAGCCCTCTCCCTTCCTCTCTGTAAAAAAAAAATCAAAAAAAAAAAAAAATATATATATATATATATATATATATTTAAAAAAGATTAACTCACCCACTGAGCTGCACTGGCCTGGCTTGGAAATTAGTTAATAAATACTGATTAATGAGAATTATAAAGGAAACAGTAAAGCACATATCATCTTACATATTCAAATACTATGAATATGTACCATCATATCATCTAAAGGCATAAAATTTCCATAAAGATGTCTTATCTAAATCTCATAAAAGACAGATCTTTTAAAACAGTTCTGTCCAAAAGAAATATAACGTAAGACATGAATGTGAGCTGCATATGTAATTTAAAATCCTATATAAATAAAAGGGTAATATGCAAATTGACCCTAATGGCAGGATGAACGGAACCGCTGGACCAGTCACAATGAGGTGCACTGACCACCTCTCAGTCTCTTTCCCTGGCCGTCAAGCACTGACCACCTGATGGCGAACGGGGAACTGGTGTGGCGGGCCAGCTGTGGGCAGCTGGGGAAGATAGCCGTGATCGTAGGGACCACACCCGGGCACAAATTTAGTGTGCTGGGCCTCTAGTTTTCTAAAATCCATGATAATAGAATAGAGAAATAGTGAAATATGTAACTATAAGACAGCATAGCTCCAGAAGTAAGAAGAAAGCACTTCCATATCAGAGATGACAAATACTTAAAATAAGTGCCAAGCCAGGCCAGTGCAGCTCAGTGGGTGAGCATTGACCTATGAACCAGGTCACGGTTCGATTCCTGGTCAGGGCACATGCCGGGGCTGCAGGCTCTATCCCCAGTGTGAGGCATGATTCTCTCTCATCATTAATATTTCGGTCTCTCTCTCCCTCTCCCTTTCTCTCTGAAAAAAGTAAAAATATATTTAAAATAAAAACTAACAGCCAATATTACAGTCTGGTAGTATGTGACACAGGCACTAAATAATGAATGTTAATATAGGGTTTACACTAACCAAATCCAAAACTACTAACTACAAACTATATAACATTTTAAAAGTTTTCCACACTCAGAAATATAACAAAGCCTCACACACACAAAGAGCAGCTACAGTGCTGTCCCTTAGAGCTAAAGACTGTATTTTTTAGTGCTAGAGGAGCAACTCCTCCATATTTCTACATATGAAAATGTGGAACAGTCACACAGCCATTCCAATTAAGTAATCAGGACAATCTATCTACCACTGTGGTCCAATCAAAGGTAACCAACATTTTAAAGTTTCTGCCAAGTAAGTATACAGCTTTGGAGCTAAGATTACAAACTGATCAATGCAAATCAAACTACAGGGTGGAACAAAATAGGTAGGTTTACAGTTGTTCGCATGGAAAATAATACAATAAATAATAATACAAGAATAAACTGTTTCGCATACTCACAAGTGTAAACCTACTTTTGCCACATCCTGCATAATCAAGAATTTTCTGCTACAGCTTTCTAATCAGCCAATGCCTCTGTAGTAGAAGATATAATTCTAGCAAAAAATAAAGAAATGTAAAAAAATACAGAATTGGCAGGTGACCTATTAGTTTAACAACATAATACTAGCTTTTATATCAGAAAGCTACTAATACAAACAAACTCAGAAGCAATTAATAATTGAATTACCCTTCTTAACTATTGCAGCCATAATGGGCATTTATATTAATCATTATCAACATAACATTTCCTTATCTTCAAAGAAGTAATATATACACAAAAAGATAAACAAAGGATGATATTAATGTTGAAATTCAAACAGATGTGTAAATAATTTTTTTAAAAAGTGCTCCTTTCCCTTACCTGACACTGGTGTACATCTACTTCCAAGAAAACTGCCTGTGGATACTTATTACTCATAGTGCTGAATGCTGGAGCAATCCTTAAACATGGTCCACACCTGCGAGGAAGGTAAAGAGATGCTTGGTAAAGTAACACCAAAGATTATACTACTTTATACTATGAAGAACTTGTGTCAATTAAAACATAAGTAAGATAAAACAAATTCTGATCATCCTGGTTTTAGACTTCTAGTCCTTTCCCCTGGACTATTTAGATATACTTGCATCAATACCACATTGCCTTTATTTAGAAAGGGAGAGGAGAAGGAGAGAGAGAGGGCAACCCCACTGGCTTTCTGCAATTCATTCAGAACCAAACCCACAAAACTAAAACTTTTAATTGACCTAACTGAACACAATTATTTAGGAAGTGAGAAGTGAAGACCTGAAAATTTAATGACTTGTTCAAGATCAACCACTCTCGTTGATGGCAGGACCACAACTAGAATAGTCAACTCTGAAATCCAGTCCAATTGAGCTTTCCCTGAAAAGTAATTGTGCTAAGAGTAATAAGCCAGAAACAAAAGAACAAATATTATGATTCCACTTATATAAAGTACCAAGAAGAGGTAAATTCAATTACAGAAAGTAGAAGAGAAGCTATCAGAAACTGGAGGTGTTTGTGTGCAAGGGGGTGAGAGAAGATTGAGAGTTATTGTTTAAAGTTTCTATCTGAAATGATAAAAGAAAATTCTAGGGAATACATAGTGGTGAATGTACTTAATGCAACTAAATTGTATACTTAAAAATGGTTAAAATAGTAAAATTTATGTTACATATATTTTACTATCTATAAAAAAATGAAAAGAAAAAAAAAAAACTAGAGAGCCACTGAAGATTCTTCAATGGAAGAATGACAATCCGTATAGTGTTTTAATAAAATTAATAGGATAGCTAAAGCATGGGAATGATAAATAAGGAATAAAGGTTTTAAAGTAGGATTGGAAAGGAAATAAAGTAGGTGTTGGAGAGAAATCAAGATGGCAGCATAGGGTAGACACCCGAATGCAGCCTACCACAACAAATTTGAATTTAGAACTGAAAAACAGGGGAGGCATTGCCCTGAAGCGCCGGATGGCTAGCTGAGAGGAGGTTCTGCCATCTGGGAAGGAGAGAGAAGGCACGCTGAACCTCAGGAACTGTGAAGGTGCGGAGAACTGTGTGCGCGAAAAGGCACTGGCTTACTCCCGACATGGGGAGAGGAAGGGCCGGATGGAGACTGCTGCTGGCTTACTCCCGGTGCGCAGAGGGCGGGCCGGGCTGAGTTCGCTACTGGCTTACTCCCGGTGCGCGGAGAGGGTGAACAGCTAATGCGCGGCTGGCTTTCTTGTTCGAGAGGAAAACAGAATCAGCCTATTGCTCTGATAGACGGCTCCAGACAAGGAGAGGCCAGAGATCTCTTGTCAGGCAGCAGGCAGAGATCTCTTGGAGGTGTGTGAAACCAGAGGCCATTACTGCGGGACTTGGGGAGGAGCCGAAGGGAAAACAAAGTTTGTCTGCACCAATCCTAGATTCCGCCCCATCTGTGGCTGAGCACAGAAGCTCTCCCAGAGGCTGGCTTTCTCTAAGGAGGGACTGGCCAGAATCCAAAGCTTGTCAGTGCCTTTACCAAAGAGGTGCGCGCGCCTGCAACCAATCTTCCCAAACTCTCCAAGAACAGGACTTTTCTAAGGCGAGACTGACAGGGAGCCAAAGATTGTCTGTGCCACCCCGAGACTCCGCCCTATCCAAGCGGAGTACAGAAGCCCTCCCAGCTGAGACACTGCTGATCCTCACAGCCAATTGGCTTGGAGATCAACTCTTTCCAGTGATACCAACAACAAGCAAGGCTTAACAACAAGACTGCACACACAGCCCACAAAGGGCTACACCAAGACTGTCCACCGCAGGTAACCGGGAAGGCTGTGCTACTGAGCTCTACCACAACACCTAGCACACAAAGCTATTCCATCAAATCAGGGAAACAACTAAAATGCAGACAAGAAAAAGGACACAAAGGAAGGAGATGGAGGAAAAGAAAAGATTGGACATTGAGTTCAAAACTACAATTATAAGGTTATTCAACAATATCCTAAAGAAGGCCGATAAAATAAATGAGACCTATGAGGATATGAAAAGGGAGCAACTAGAAATAATAAGGGATCAACTAGAAATGAAGAAAACATTGTCTGAAATAAAAAATATTATACAAAGTCCTAAAAACAGACTGGAAGATCGCAAGAATCAAGACAAAGATTTAGAACACAAAGAGCCAGAGGACACTCCTCTGCAGAAGGGAGAAGATAAGAGAATCCAGAAAGTTGAAGATAATGTAAGAAACCTTTGGGACAATTTCAAGCAAACCAACATCAGAATTATGGGGATTCCAGAAAAAGAGAGAGAGCAAGATACCAAAAGAATACTAGAAGAAATAGCGACAGAAAACTTCCCCCACCTGGGGAAAGAAATAGACTTACAAGTCCAGGAAGCCCGCAAAACCCCAAACAAAAGGAATCCAAGGAGGACCAGACCATACACATCATAATTAAAATTCCAAGAGCAAAAGACAAAGAGAGAATATTAAAAGCAGCAAGAGAAAAGCAGGTAGTGACCTATAAAGGAGCACTCATAAGATTGTCAGCTGATTTCTCAACAGAAACCATGCAGGCCAAACGGGAATGGCAAGAAATATTCAAGGTGATGAATAGCAAGATCCTACAGCCAAAAATAATCTACCCAGCAAAGCTATCACTCAGAATCAAAGGACAGATAAAGAGCTTCACAAATAAAAAAAAGCTAAAAGAGTTCATCACCACCAAACCAGAATTATATGAATTGCTGAAGGGGGTTATTTAGGAAGAGGAAGAAGATAAAGATAAAAATTATGATCAACAAATACCTAACTATCAACAAGTGAATCTAAAAACCAAGGGAATTAAAAAATCTGATGAACAATATTAACTGGTGAATATAATAGAATCAGAGGTATGGAAGATGAGTGGACTGAAGATTCTCGGGGAAAAGGGGAGTGGGGGTGAGGGAAGAGACTGAACAAAAACTGTGCACCTATGGATGAGGACAATGCGGGATGGGGAAAGGACAGAGGGTGGGGTGGGAACCTGGTGAAGGGGAGCAATTGAGGGGAGGAAGAGGATCACATTTGAATAATCTGGAACAATAAATTTATTTTATAAATAAATAAATAAATAAAATTTTTAAAAAAATAAAGTAGGTGTTGCATTCGGAAACTATGTTCTTGGCCTAAAATGGGACATTAACTTTGATTTAAGAAGTTTCTTACATGACTTAACTTGATATAGTTCGATATTTGATATAGTACTGATGCCAATATATTTAAATCTGGAGTCACAAAGGCATAAGAGTTGGTGTAGGAAAGTATTAATGGCCAAAATGCTAAAAGAACTTTAAAGGCAAAGACGTTATCAGTTTTGTAAACATTACCTAATACTTTTGAATTTAAAAATTACCTACACTCAACTATTTTACTTGCTCTCAGTTTTTACAAAGAAAACAACATTTTCATCCCATCAAAATACCTTTTTTAAAGTAAATAACAGCCTTAGCTGGGCTTCTCAGTGGTTAGGACATCAACCCTTGGACTAAAGGGTTGTGGGTTTGATTTCCAGTTAAGGTCAGGGTGGGTGAAAGTTGAGTGCTGCAAGCAACCAATCTCTCTAAAATGGATGTTTCTCTCCCTCCCTCCCTCTCTCCCTCTCTCCCTCTCTCCCTCTCTCCCTCTCCCTCTCCCTCTCTCTCTCTCTCTTTCCCTCTCTCTGTCTCTCTCCCACTCCCTCCCTTCCTTCCTCCCTCTCTAAAAAAATAAAAATAAAATAAAGTAAAATAAAATAAAATCAAAGGAAACATTCTCAGGTGAGGGTAAAAAAATAAAATTAAAAAAAAATTATTTTAAAAAGTAAATAACTGCTTTACCAATCAATGTCTACAGTTATGTTTACGGTTAAATGGTAATATATTGCTGAAGGAGGTGTTTCCTTAATAGCAACATTCCCCCACTTTTCTTACTTCAATAACTTATTGCTCTGTCATCTCTCCCTCTGCTATGGTAAGGGGGTGGAGGAAAAAAGACTATCATTGAGGGATAAAAGTATAAGTGCTGCCACTGACTAGAATTAGGAAAGTGAACTAAAAATGAGATTCACTGTTAAAATCATCTCTTCCCACCTGGCTGACATGGTTGAGTGTAGACCTATGAACCCGGAGGTTATAGTTTGATTCCCTGTCAGGGTACGGGCTCCCTTGATCCCCAATGTGGGACATGCAGGAGGCAACCAATCAATGATTTGCTCTCATCATTGATGTTTTTGTCTCTCCATCTCCTTCTCTGAAATCAATAAAAATATATTAAAAATAAAAAGTAAATAAAATCATATCTACATTAAAAATAAAAGTAAATAAAATCATCTTTTCTCTTTTCCAACGCCGGCTTAGGTCCTTAACAAATGTACAAGTATTCCCCCATAGTAAGAGCATAGACATTACAAAATTGCTCAATCTGGGAAGGCACATTTGTAGAATTCTGACCTTCCTCTTATATAAGTCTTTATATACAAAATCGCCTCTTCAATATAATAAATGTCAAAGTCCACATGGCAAATGTGTATTCTATTCCACCATATAAAAGTCAACGTATTGCCCCTTTTCAATTCTGTATAAGAGACACTGGTCCAAAAATAAGTCCTAATTGGTTTTCATCTCTATCTGCAATTTTCCATCCCTAAAACTATCTAATCCTAATGTCATTTCTTCTATACTCAACATTTATTGAATCATGTTCAGTAGATGTGAAACACTTCTTGCTCTGGGATTCAAAATATTGCCTTGTTTATATATTTAGTCAATAAATACAATAAAATGTATCACATAAACAGTGATAGCCACAGATTTCTCCAAGTTAGCATAAGTGTAAATATCAGGGGGTTGATACCTTTAAACCTTATATAATAACTAGACAGTGACATACACAAGGGGTGTTCAGTAAATAGACACACTTGCTCAAAAGTTGGTTCTGGATGCCTAGTTCCAACTGTACACCCTACAAATATGGAACATCCACCAGCTCTGCGACCCATAAATCATATTAAGAGCTACCAAGGCCAGTGAACAGCTTATCAAGATCCCTGTCCTTGCCCTAGCCGGTCTGGCTCAGTGGATAGAGCGCCAGCCTGCGGACTGAAGTGTCCTGGGTTCGATTCCAGTCCAGGGCACATGCCTGGGTTAAGGGCTTGTTCCCCAGTAGGGGTGTGCAGGAGGCAGCAGATCCATGATTCTCTCTCATCATTGATGTTTCTCTTTCCTTCTACCTTCCTCTCTGAAATCAATAAATATATGTATTTTTAAGAAAGATCCCTGTCCTCTTTTAAATCATTGGGTTAAAAAAATAAAAATTAAAAAAAAGTCTATATGATCAAACCCAAACATCTGGACACCTATATACCCTACTATAATTTTTGTGTTCACACACGAAATCACATACATAGGGAAGCCTAAGTTACAAAGCCACTAACCAAACAAGGATCAAAAAACGTTAAGAAATTAAAAAGCACCCTGACCCAACATTAACTTAAACTATCGCGGATGAGTTGGATAGCCCCACGAAGCTTCCAAAGGCGAAATGAGGTGGCTCGAAGTAGCTAGGTGTTCTGTAAATTAAGATTTCAGGGTTTCTAAGATGCAAGTGACAGCTGGTTCTCTGGAAAGAAAGGCAAAGACGCGAGCAGGGGTGGATGTATGAGGCTCCAGACTAGAAATAGTGGCGGGCCACCTCAGGAGCAGGGCTCATCTGAGTATTCAACATGAGCTGGCAGGTATCTCCTGGGCTGGGGAGGGGAAGGCGGACAGTCTGGCCTCCGTGCCCGCTAGCGACTCCCCCGGTGCACAAATGGGGACCCAGACCCACGAGCTGAGGCCTAACTGAGCAGCGGCCTGGGGCTGCGGTCGGAGCCAGACATTCCAGAGCAGGACGACACCACCAGGTAGTCGGAACCCGAAAAGGGTGAAAGGAAAGCACCGGCGGACAGAAGGAAGAGCCCACGGGGCTCGGGCCCGGCCTCACCCTCGCATGGTGAACTTGACCACGGCGAGCCTGGAGCCGGCGCCGCTCAGCTCCGGCTGGAAATCCGGGTCGCTCCCGACCGGCTTCACTCCCACCATTCTCGGAGCCCGGAAGGGAGGCCGCGACGCCGCCCGCTGCGAAACGGAAAGAGAAGAGGACCTGGAGACGAAGGGGGATGCTCAGAAGGCCGAGGCCTGGACAGAGGCGGCGGCGATCGCGGAGCGGCTCCCGCGGCGCCCAGTGCCGAGTCACGCCAGGAGCCGATCGGCGAGGGGGCGGGAACGGGAGCGGGGGAGGAGGCAAAGGGAGGGAAGGCGTGCAGCTCCCAGCAGCCACCGCGCGGCAGGGCCGCCGGCGCTTGCGCAGTTTGACGTCATTTCCGCGTCGTCTGTTTTGACTCCCACCGCCCAATCCAAATACACGCTCCGTGGCCCCACGCCACTGAGGAGCCTCTCATTGGCTGGAGCTGCGCAGGCGCAGACTAGCAGCGGTCACAAGCTCAGGTGCGGAGTGCGACTCAAACACTCCAGTGTTCTTCCGCGGTTAGTGAGTTCGTAGCCTTTCCTCCTGGACTTTTCGAGGGGCGGGAAAATGGGAAAGGAGCCCCTTTCCCCCCCGGGGTTCATGGCTGCAGTCATTTAGGGATCTCATAATACGTGAGCGCTCTCTGTGCAATCATCCAGGAAAAAAAGTTATGAATTTGTCTTTAAGTTGTGTCAAAAAAAAGAAAGAAAAGACTGTCCGTCTTTTAGGGATTCCCAGTTTAGTGATAGACGCAAACAGTGGTTACAGAACAAACACGTTTGCAAAAGAAACAGTGTGAACAAATGATAATAGGAGGATGGGGCAGGGAACACTTTCCAGGAGATGTAACCTCTGAACTGAGTTTTATTTTTTAATTCTCATTCTGGGATTTTTTTTTATTTTATTATTTATTATTATTATTATTTTATTTATTTATTTTTAGAGAGTGTGAAAGAGAGGGAGGAGGAGGACACAGAGAGAGAAAAACATATTGCTTGCTTCCTGCACATGTCCCAACCCAGGTTGGGGATGGAGCCTAGGACATAGGTACATGCCCTTGACCAGAAATCAAACCCACTACCCTTGAGCTGAGGGCCAATGCTCTAACCACTGAGAAAACCAGCCAGAGCTTAACTGAATCTTGATAAAGAAGAAAGGAATAGCAGACGGTGAGAGATGAGGGGTATTCCAGGCAAAGAACCAGTGGTGCAAATGAATGGGTTGAGAGGGCTGATGATAATAACTGTAGCTAATATGCAACAAATAATGTGTCAGATAAGACACAAGCTCAGCCGAGACTGGTTTGGCTCAGTGGATAGAGCGTCGGTCTGTGGACTGAAAGGTCCCAGGTTCCATTCTGGTTAAGGGCATGTACATTGGTTGCGGGCACATCCCCGGCAGGCGGCGTGCAGGAGGCAGCTGGTTGATGTTTCTCTCTCATCGATGTTTCTAGCTCTTTATTCCTCTTCCCTTCCTCTCTGTAAAAAATCAATAAAATGTATTTTTTTTAAAAGATACAAGCTCATTGTGTGTATTAGCTCATTTAATTCTTACAACTACCCTGCGAAGTAGGTTCTATTATTACTTCACCTTTAGACTAATTTTTGCTAGTTTACACCTAGTAAGAATTCAAGTTTGCATTCACATTAAGGCAATCTAACACCAGGGTGCTAAGTGACAAGTCAAATGATTTGCTTTTGGATTTAGCTGGGGAGATGAAATTGAAGAGTGAGGTAGTAGTCAGATCATAACTAGTTGAGAAATGTGTATCTTTACATGAAGGTTATGAAGTAATCATTTGATTGCAATTTTGTGATTACAAGTGTCTCTAGAATCTAAAGTTTAGATAAAGCCTTGAAGCTGCTGTGAGGAGGATGATAGGCAGTGAGACCAGTTTAGGAGATTATTAAAAGTAATCCAAGAACTGAATTGAGAACAGCTGCAGTGGAAATGTGGAGGTAATGATATATTTGAGAAACAATTAGAAGATAAGAGCCACAGGGTTTGGTGACCAATGAGAGGATGGAGAAAGGAATCTAGAATAATGCAAATATTTCAATCTGTGCTCTTTACTGAGTTAAGATGCCTGAGGATAACCAGATAAGGCCTACAGTAGGTGATAGAATGAGTCCGAAACTAAAGAAAAGGGAGTAAGGTACAATTACAGATTTGAGAGTTATTAGTTTGGGTGATAATTGAAGCCCAAGAAATATGAAAAGAGAAGGCTAAGGGTTCTTCAGAAACAAAATAATTATCCCTAACTGAACCCAGCCAGAGTAGAGCCATAGTAACTGCATTCCTTTCTCAAGATATCAGCACAGTGTAATGGCTCTAGAGCCAAATAGACACAGAAGTTCTAATAACAAATCTCTGCTACTTATTCTTTTGTGGTCATGAATAAGTCACTAACCACTCAGAACCTCAGCTTTCTTGACTGTGAGAACTGGTTTGATAATACCTACTTTCTAGAATTGTGAGGATTAAGTATAATAGTATACTAGAGGCCTGGTGCATAAAATTTGTGCACTGGGGGTGGGGTGGATGTCCCTCAGCCCAGCCTGCACCCTCTCTAATCTGGGATTCCTGTGGGATCCGGCCTAAACCTGCAGTCAGACATTCCTCTCACAGTCCGGGACTGCTGGCTCCCAACCACTTGCCTGCCTCCTGCCTGATTGCTCCTAACCACTTTTGCCTACCAGCCTGATGACCTCCTAACCACTCCCTGCCAGCCTTATCCATGCCTAACTGCCCTCCCCTGCAGGCCTGGTCCCCCCACAACTTCTCTCCCTCCCCTCAGGCCTGGTTGCCCCCAACTGCCCTCCCCTGCCAGCCTGGTTGCCCCCAACTGCTGGACATCTTGTGGCGGCCATATTGTGACCACATGAGGTCGGCCATCTTGTGTGAGGGTCTGATGGTCAGTTTAAATATTCTTTATTATATAGGATGATATATGTGAAAAGAATGAGAAAATAAGAAACTCAAAAGATGTTGATAAACATTTGATGATATCTACTATTATGTTACATTTACTATGCACTTAATATGTACAAGGTACTGTGATAATGCTTTGAAATACCTCTGTTACAAGGGAGATAAACCACTGCCACAAAATTTTACTATACTAGTTAAAATGTGGTAAGTGCCATAGCAGAATACAGGTGGCATACCACAATGGCTCTGAAAAAGGAGAGAAGTTTTCTAGCTGTAATGAGCGAAGAATGCTTTATGAAGGAACATGTTCCAATATTCAGGTCTAGATAAATATAGAAAGGAAATGTATAAACTTCTTCACTTCACAGTAATGACTCCTGACTTTCCTCTTAACTCATCAAGAATATAATCTGTTTCAGACTCATCCATTATTACCGCGGTTAGCCAGTAACTAGCGAAAGGCTTTCTATCATGACTCGTAGCTGTCATGGATTCATGTTGCTGATTTTACAAGTAGATGTGTTAGAAATAGGTACACATGGCTTTATTCTCCCAGTTGTCATTTCCATATAGTAGGTACAAAATAAGTAATGGTTGGTTAAATGAATGGAAAGAAAACATAATGGGTATGAACTCAGTCCACAAAATCAGGTGTACAAGAAATACTATTTTGTGTTGTATAACAATTTCATTTCCAGTCTGAATCTCCACCCTCCAGCTACATCCAGTTAAAACAAAATCATAACCTTTTCTCCTCTGTGTCTGCCTTAGAAACTGTATCAAATTTCTGGGTTTGGGGTAGAGTTGGGCTTTGGAGTACAAATCTCTGGGTGTCTCTGTCCACACACCCTCTTCATGTGACTACTTTAGGGAATGGGGCCCTTCATGTGACTACTTTAGGGAATGGGGCCTTCATGTGACCAGTTTAGGGAATGGTTAAGGTTGCCTTGATGCACTAGTCTTGCCATTTATTACTGGGTTTCTATTCCTCTCCACTTCAAGGAACCAAGACCTCAAGGATCTTTCTTTTCCTTTCATGTCTCTACAAGGGAATCTATTTTCAGTGCAGGGAAACCCCTCTGACTGCATGTTCATTCAGGGTATTTTGTCTCTACCTGTAACCCTCTTTCCTCAAGGCAGACACTAGAAACTGCAGCCAGAGCTGATCCAGCCTACAGTTATGTTTCATTTGGCTGCTCCATAGTGTGTGTGTATGTGTATGCATGGCATATACACATACGAATAACTGCTGCTTAGTAGAGTGTTTTTACCTTATTTCTGAAGAAGTAGAGAACTTAGAATACTTTATATTATACCAATTTAACTTTGCTTATCAACTGGGTAGTTTATTTCACATGATAATCTTTGCAAAGTTTTGAGGGGAAATATATACATAATGTAAATATTAAATAGAAAAGAAATCCTGCTTCATAATTCCCCAAACATTTTAGCATTATGCTGCTGGATTAGAAAACTCACCCTAATCAGTTTGGCTCAGTGGATAGAGTGTCGGCCTGCAGACCCAGGTTCGATTCTGGTCAAGGAATGTACTTGGTTGTGGGCACATATCTGGTGGGGAATGTGCAGGAGGCAACTGATTAATGTTTCTCTCTCATCCAGGTTTCTAACTCTCTGTCCCTCTCCCTTCTTCTCTGTAAAAAATCAATTAAAACAAACAAACAAAAAAAGACTGAATACCATTCCTCATAATTGTCTCTAGGTGGCACAATATCTTTTTCAGTCAAAGGTGTGTGATTCCCCCTTGATATCCAGTGCTTCTTTAAATAATGCCATTTAAAGTCACCAGAAGTCCCATTGTCCCACTATAGAGTACATATATTTTTTAGTTTTGGACAGTAGGCAAGTATCTTGGAGTAGAGGGTTTCCTAGGAAGTAGTACAGTATCTGTCACAGTCCTAAATATTTTTTCTACTGGAAAAATACTGAAGAACTTTGCTGACAATTCTGAGTCAGTTTTGGGAGTTTCCCAAAAATATAAAATAGTTTATTCTCTTGGAATAATATATATAAGGTTCAGGATTCATTAAGCTGCCCAGAGTCTCTACTAAGAAAGCTAGATATTTAGACAATTATTTCCATCATCTCAGCTTCTGAAATAAAAATCCATATTTCAATTTTTTTA